GACCCATCTTCAATGCTCTTACTGAGGGAAGGAGGTTGTTGCCCAAAATCTCGCTATACATGGCCGCATCCATCCTCTCCTCAATACAGTGCAGTCGTCCTGTCCCCTTTGCAGAAAAGCACCCCAAAGCATGATGTTTCCACCCCTATGCTTCATGGTTGGGATGGTGTTCTTGGGATTGTACTCATCCTTCTTCTTCCTCCTAACACGGCGAGTGTAGTTTATACCAAAAAGTTATATTTTGGTCTCATCAGACCTCATGACCTTCTCCCATGCCTCCTCTGGATCATCCAGATGGTATTTGGCAAACTTCAGACGGGCCTAGACATGTGCTGGCTTGACCAGAGGGACTTTGCGTGCGCTGCAGGATTTTAAGCCATGACGGTGTAGTGTGTTACTAATCGTAACCGTTGAGACTGCGGTCCCAGCTCTCTTCAGGTCATTGACCAGGTCCTCCCGTGTAGTTCTAGGCTGATCCTTCACCTTTCTCAGGATCATTGATACTCACGAAGTGAGATCTTGCATGGAGCCCCAGTCCGAGGGAGATTGACAGACATCTTGAATTTCTTCCATTTTCTAATAATTGCGCCAACAGTTGTTGCCTTGTCACCAAGCTGTTTGCCCTTTGTCCTGTAGCAAATCCCAGCCGGTGCAATTAATACAGGCAATGAGTGGAGGATAGGAGGGCTTCTTAAAGACAAACTAACAGGTCTGTGAGAGCCTGAATTCTTGCTGGTTGGTAGGTGATCAAATACTTATTTCATGCAATAAAATGGAAATAAATTATTTAAAAATCTAACAGTGTGATTTTCTGATTTTTTTTTTTGTAGATTCTGTCTCTCACAGTTGAGGTGTACCTAGATGAAAATTACAGAACTGTCCATTCTTTGTAAGTGGGAAAGCTTGAAAAATCGGCAGTGTATCAAATACTTATTTGCCCCACTGTATTTCCATGATGTTATGTGTGTCAAATATGTAATGTGATGCAATAGTGGCTGGGACATTGGTAATGTATCAGTAATACTGTGGAAAAACATTCCTTTGTATAATTTGCTTGTGTTACAGCTTCAGGTAAAAAAAAAAAAAAAAAAAGGACCCATGTCGCTGCAATGCCACAGGTTCTGTTGGCTATATTCAGTACACGTTAATATTATTGCGGAGTTGCCTGACTGCCACAACCATCTCCAGCTGTACTTATCACATAAGATGTAGTTTCACAGACAGGGCAGGAGGGAGCAGAGGAGGGCTTACAGACTGAGTTTGTTTTGACTGTCACTCACTCTCTAACAGTTGAATAGTTAGAGGGTGAAAGTTAGCTAGAGCTGCTTTAATAGAGGAATGTGCGTACACACGAACACACCCTATCATGCATGTGCAGGTCTGAGTGCTTGTAACCTCACTGCATTGAGATAACAATCAAGCAATTCGCAAGCCTCTTTGCTAGCTACGTCTCAATTTTATGCTGTTTGCAATATCCTGAATGAACAGATGTTTGTATAAATTACCTCCCCCTGTGGTAGTGCAGATATTAAATACATGCTTTGCATTAATAAACAACAGTTGTGAAGTGGTTAGAGCTGCAGGCAAATGTTTTGTAAGACTGGCAGCTTTTTTTTTCAGTTGTATCAAAGACAGCTGCAATGATAAACTAAAGGCTCAGTCTCTTATAAGCATATGATTAAAACCAGTCTTAATCCGTTCAGCAGTTTATCCTGAATATGTGTTGTTGTGTCTTCTTGTTTTTCAGCAAGGGAAATGACCAGGGGGAAGTTCTTGAACATCTTGGAGAGGCCTAAGAAGTGACAAACCTTTGTTTGTTTGTTTGTTTTAAGCAACAAGAAATTTTCAAGGCAAATTGGGTCTGTGCCTTTACTATGCTCTGAACACATACAGACTTTTGCACAAAATTCAGACTTTGCATTTTAAACCATAAACTGGATTAAAATGCTTACTCACCCAACTGAGATCTGGTCTCCAGACACCTCATACACCTGTTCTCCTTTAGATAAATGCTTTTCATTTTATGTGTGAACTTCAAATGATGTATTACTTTCCTCTGAATTTCACTGTAGCTGGTAGACCCGCCTTGATTTATATCTTCTCTATTTATTCTTAGTTCTATTTTAAACACGATTAGTATTTTTTGCAATCTGTGATTGTATAATAAACTATTACACTGAAAAGATGATTGTCCTCCATGCAAAGCCACTTTGAAGTGATTAGGTTTGCAGCCAAAACAGTTACCTTTGGTGGTGCAGCAGGTTTTAGAGACAGTTCAACTTTTGACAACTTTGTGTAAAGTGCAGCACCACTCGGCTGTGGACATGTGAGAGTGCATTCCCTGTTTTTCATTTAATGAGCATTGGAAACGGAGTCCCATGCACAAAACATTGCGTAAAAATAATATTGCTCATTGTCGTCGCCGTTAATGATGGCTGACATAATTACTAGGACCATTTCTTTCCTAATTAGCACACTTCAGCGTTGTCGGAGCTAGCGGCCAGGCGGAAAGAGAATCAGACAGGCATGCCGAACGGGAAACAAAAAGAAGTCCCTCCGCCATAATTAGGTAGGACAATGCCTCGGACTGTTCTCGGCTGGAGATGTCGCCGGGGCTCTGGCAGCTCACTCCCAACACGTTGCGCTTCTCCCCAGGCCGCTCATAAGCCCCTAGTCGTCTTTCCGATTCACCCCCTGTCTCTCACGGACCAACGGCTCGCCTTCGAAAAGATATGGATTATTTATACAGCGCTATTTATAGCGACAGAGAGACAAGTTGATTGAAAGGCCTTGTGAAATGCGCCATAGGTTAATAGAAAACTCCATATTTTCGATAGAGAGTGTTATACAACCAGATATGGATGCGGCTGCGTATTAACAGCTGAAAATAGCCTTCTAACATTCCCACACATATAAGGTACGTTTATAAAGTGTGGGCTTGTTAAATATAGTATTGTAGATCATTATTAAGCCAGTTGGAAAACGTTTGGTCTTGTTGCCAGGTTGTGCAAAATCCCTTTGGTTTGCTGTTTATCCTCCTGCAGCAGGAAACTTGCTTTGTCACCTGTAACCGATTGAATCGAGCCCCGGTTTGTGACCCCAAATCGATTCATTAACAACTTAAATCTACGCCTTCTGTAGGAAAATGTCTCCATTTGTGTGTTATAAATAGTCACTGATGCATTTGTGTGTAAATAGCATTTTACAGTTGGTCGAGGTAGAGCTAATTCTAGCCTGTTTCATTTCATATTATAATTAAAACAATTTGAAATACGATGCATTTCCAGTATATTATAAAATGTATTCTAATGTTCGGCGCGTCTGTCAAATAAATGCAGTGCAGTGAATGTTTCTGTAGGCCTAATGGAGAAGAAGTAAAGTAAAATGCTTGAGGATTTCCATTGCAGTATTAAATGGTCTAATTTGAAGTTGTAAGCATTACGCGTTAGGATGACCCTGTTGTCTTTGGGGCCGGTTGCGTACACTTGTTGATGATGTTGTGGATGCTGACTGATGGACATGGATCATTCTGCTGAGCGTCGACGTGCTAAGTGACCTGACATACTCGATATGGTGCACCCCTTGGTGTCTGTCACCCGCAGCGTCCCTCCAGATGAAATCCACAGAGCTGCTCATAGACATGCGGAGAGAGACGGGGTAAACTCCACAGCATCCATCCATCCACAGTGCCTTGACCCCACACAGCCTCTGTGCTCCGAAAAACGTCAATCCGATGTGCCCCGAGTCCTTAAATTAGCTGTCAATTAGTGCAAATAATTCAGCTCCTCACTTAATTAAGCAATGCCGACGGGCAGCTACCAAACATGCCGTTGTGGAGGAGCCATGAGAAAGTGGCGGGGCTTGCGAACTCTTTCTGGGAGGAGGAGAGGGTGGGTTTGGTGTGCCATTACGCTCTGCATGTGTTCTGGGAAAGCAGAGGCCCTGGCTGCTTTCCAGCTGACTCGGTTTTACATGTGTGCTGTTGTCAAGTTGTGTTTGAACACCGAGGGTGCAGTTTGATCCAGCAGTAACTCAGTCACGCCAGAGTCTTGCATAACGGGTCTCTTTCCTTATTTAGTGCGCCCACGTACCCTGTTAGTCTGGCATGGAAAGCATGATGAAGAGTTTTACACCACTTTGATCAACCTAATAAAAGAGGAACTGATGAATAAAACTTCAAAAATGGGATGAACTAGACGAGAAACAGTTCCTTATTGTGTGCCAGCGATATTTGGTGTATCTGTTATTCACTCTCGCAAATGCATTTCAAGCTTTACCTTAACCACTTTCTGGGCTGCTGTAGACATGTCTGAAGATTGCAGGCTGGATAAGTTCACATCTATGCAGTTAACCCTGTAAAGCCTGACACATCAAAAACTAGCCAGAACATTCTCTCTTTTTTTGGGAACTGAGATGTTTATTAAACCTTTTAACAAAATCCAAAAGAAAATTCAAGATTTTTATTTACCATTTATGCATAGACAGGCAGTCCAGGCACACAGGAATAAATGTGCCATATTATTTTGTTTATTTATTTTTTGTATCACATTTGATACATGGGGCATTTTTATTTGCCCAGAAACTCGCGTAGCAAATATGATACAAATGGTTTTATACGGTTAACATATGTAGAAGGTTTGGAGACAGTTGTTCCTAATTTTGCATTAGGCTTAACTCTGCAACAGCAGTAACAAAAGGAGTGGAGGCTGCAGAGACAGGATGTGGGGTTGGTGTGGGCAGCTAAAAAAATTCTAACAGCTGTTTACTTTTTAATCTGCAGCCGTCAGATCCTGCAGGTCTTTGATGGGCAGCCCAGTCTACACGAACGACTGAACTAAATCTTGCCTTAATCTTGAGCCTTACTGGGCAGCCACTCTTGTACATGTAAATCACCGTGCAGCTATTTTCACAGGGGGTGGATTATTAAAAGCCATACAGGGAAGAGAAAGTGTTGCACCGTCACCAAACAAACAAAAACAGTCTTTACATTGCAGCAAGAGTGATGATGGAGTGAGCGGAGGCAGTGGCTGCCCTGTAATTGACGGGCCATCCTCACTCGCACTCGTCCTTGTTAATAAATGACCAGATCCCAACAGGCTGATGTGCCATTAGCATATCCTAATAGCTCTGATTTCTTCATTAATAGAATTTCCACTAAATAAGCCTTAATTATTTTCAACTGAAGAACCATAATTGCAGCAGCAACATTTTTCTCCTTCTTAATCAGCGGCTCATTACGCACCGTTTGCTATAAAATATGACTTTGCGAGCTTGTGCAAGTCGCAAACAGAGTAAAGCTGCATTGCTTATGTTGTAGCCTACATTGTCCTCTCCAGCATGGTCCAGCTAGCCCACAGTTTGGTTCTGTAATTGACATGGTAAATATTTGTTTATATATCATTTTGCTTGAGTGTTTTGTATTGTTATTGAATTGTCATTTGCATGATGTTTGTGTGCGCAATTTAAACATGCTGGAAGCCGCAGTGTACATTCGCACCACCTGTGCATAAAATAGACCGCTATTTATTGCGTTCCAAATGATTTCCAAAGGAATTCACACCAGTGTAATAAACATTTAAATTATATCACAGTTAATTAGGAAAACAGGATCGACTATATCCACCTCGGTCTAAGGAGTTTATGTGTTTTGGCACAAATATGTAAAATTGGCTTCATGATGGGGAAATGATTGCCTTTTTAAATCCTCGGCAATTTCATTATCTGACTCAAACACCAAGAAAAAGGAATGGCTTGATCTGCAACTTTATTCATAAAACCAAGCGTTATTACTATATGTACTATGTGAACCAAAATAAGAACCAGTTTCTCCTTTTTGCATTGAAAGACACACAAAACAAATTAATATGCTATATGTTGCGTTTAAATTTCGCCTTTATGCAAAGGTCAAAAATGCGAATACAAAAACTAACAGAATTAAAATAATTAAGAGAACAAGCATATTTCTTATTTTCCTGACGTCGGTTTTTTTTCTGACAATTTAATTAATGTGTTTGTGTTAGGTCTATATGATTACAATTACCTATTACCCATATTGTTTAGTAGACTTTAGTGCAGGCTGCGGGCTTATCGTGGTTAATTATGATTAAAAATACAAGCTTTATTATTTAGTCTTAGTCTTTTGGCCCATATTCTGTATAATTTCCCATCTCTGTGATTTAATCTGCTCTGTAGTCTGGACTGTGCTGTGGGATTAGCGCCGGGACGGACTGGGCAGCGCACGCTGTCAGTTATTGGGAGATCATTTGATTTGCATGTGATGCGTTTCCCATAGCATCTGGAGATCAATTCGGGTAGCCTACATAGTGATTCTTTTCTAGGAGACTCCAGCTAGTAATTCTATCATTTCACAGGTAAAACGTGTGAATAGACGATTTAATTTGGCCTAACTCCTTAACGAAACATTATTTCAGATGTGATAATATGTAGTGAGATTATAAGGGTTTGGGCATAAAAAATGTTTGTTAGAAAACATCTCCAGGTTCGTTACTGTAGTTTTAATCTTTCTAATCTGATCTTTCTGTGGAATGTGTAGTACGCCAGGTTATTTATTGTAATCAGAGCCTCTTTACTGCAGCCTTGAAGACGGTCTTTCTGTAGCTTAAATCCCTTCCTTGTTTATCCAGTCCTTAGAAAAATGCAGATATGTATCCGAGAGGGCGTATAATGCATCCATGATCCACAGGAATCCGGAACCCTCGCAGCTGATTGGCTGCGGGGTCCTGCCTCTTGTTGAGATGGACCTGTTGGATAAAAGGACCACTTTCTAAAGGACTCGTGTGTGGCACAGAGGATCATGCACTGGGGACCATTCTGTAACACGATACAATAAGAAATAGGCCTTTCAAGTAGCATCAGTGACATTATGACGGGAAAACAAGGCTCTGTTTTGTCGGAAAGTTTACATTTATCAGAGAAAACCTCTCTGGTTGCAAACGCGGGGAGTAACAGCCACCAGCCGAAGAGCAGCGGCATCCATCCGCCGCCCAGGTGCACCGGGCCGGCTGGGGCTCACCTGATCGCCGCCAGGTCCGTGCTGGGCCCCGCCGGCGTGGGCGTGGGTGTCGGGATGGGATTAATTGGCCCTAGTGGAATTCCGTCGTTTTACAGCCAACCAGCGTTTTTGGAGACTGTGCTGTCGGACGCAAAGGACGTTCACCTGCAGCCCCACAGCAGGTCCGTAGGCCCGTTGGACACCATTCAGTCTGCCAGCTCAGGTGAGCAGCAACACTTCATAGCTACTGATAACACAAAGCCTGATTTCCAGCTTGGGCTATTCGCCATATAGGCTATTGCCAGATTGAATGTATTATTATTATTATCATTGTTGCTGTTGTGTCAGTTGTTTGAAATTATTGATCATTACATATGACAGTTCGTTCATGATCGTTTGCCTCAAATTAACCTTTATGCTCCACTCTTTTTTTTTAACCCCAGACTCCGAGGATTTTTCTTCAAATGAACGAAAACTCTCAAAGTCATCAGTAAATCAGAGCAAGAAACGCAAGAAAAGACGTCACCGGTTAGTGAATATTTCTGGTAATGATCATTTTTTCGGAAAGATAAATTCACACAAATTCATCGAAATCTCTGTAAGTCTTTTAACATGGATGTTTACACTCAGTAAAATGCATTGCCGTTTTTTTTTAAGTAGCCCAATTACTGATAAGAAATTACTACATAATGTCCAAATTCCTTGTATTTTTGCCATTACTGCTATCTATATATTCTAGGTTTGTTCTGATTTGATTTGCTGCAATTTTACATCAACACACAATGAATGAGTTTGTTTATTAAAACTGGCTATTATAGAAATTTCTATTAGGCTAGGCTATTTTATTTTATATTTGCCTTTTTTGTTTGTTTTTCTATCTTTTTTTGTTAAAGTCAGTCTGGCCTAGCCTTTAGTTTAAACTATTAAGAAAGATTTCTGCAGGACACAATCTCTTCAATATATCCAAACATTTAAAACATGAACCCGTTTCCACAGGACCATATTCACGTCGTACCAGTTGGAAGAGCTGGAAAAGGCCTTTAATGAAGCGCACTACCCAGATGTTTATGCTCGAGAGATGTTGGCCATGAAAACAGAGCTACCTGAGGACAGGATACAGGTAACTGTCTACTGCAGCTTCCTCTGTTTGTATTATAGAAATAATGAGGAAGTGTTTATAGGTCGAAATTTTATTTGAACATGGGTTCCTGATTTTTTTTTTTACCCCTCTACAAGTGTTGCATTTGAGTTTATTTTCATTAAGTCAATGAATTATTGTGCACTTTATGAATTAAGCTACTTAAAATTTTTGTATTCATTCATCAAGGCGTTAAAAGGTACTGTATTTCGTCAGATACCAGAGAGAAAGGAATAATTATGGCAGCTTGAATTATATTATAGCAAAATAAAACAAAATAGTTCTCAAATTATTTTTAAGAATTAAAAACAGAACATAGTTTGATCTATGTTCTCTTTTTTGAAGTACTCTCAGCAAAGCATATCCTAAAGAATGGTGGCCAGGTCAAGGCAGTTATACAGTAAATTAAATCTGACTTGCTCAATTCGTTGTATCTTCTTTAAAATATTCCAAATACATTTTTAGCACATTGAAAAACATATATAGTAGTATCAATAATTCGTGGTAAAAAACGTCGGTGGTATATTTGAGACAGAGCTAATATTATAGGCCCAGTTAATTTGTTTGGATAATTATAATTGTTTGCCTTATGAATATGAGCAGTAAGATGCAGTTTCCTCATCCTTCACGTTTCCATCAGCCTTAACAACCTGCCGTAATGTCTGAGCGGAGGCCGCCAGCTGCCCCATGCTGCTCCAGTGTTTTGGGAAGCTGGGCCAAGCGAGCCGCCGTAAATCGACCCGTCTGAACAAAGCCTGCTCTGCAACAGCAGCCTCGCCACGACAGATAATCTCTCATCAGGCGCAGTTGGATGTGAAACAATTTGTTCTCGGAGAAGGAGCCGCTAACGACCTAATCAAGCTATCAAGGCGGAAGAAGATTGCAGTGTGACCTAGACCATCCATCTGCCGGGCGCCTTTTAATCTCATTCTCATTACGGGGCTGCCGCACTGCCGCGAATAAATAATAAAAGGAAATAAATAAATAAGTCCGGAGCCTGCTCCTATCCTAAATAAAATTAACACCCAATTTTCTCATTGAGTTTAATTAGTTAAATCAGACGAGTTCGGGAGGCTGGCTCCTGCTGGAGAGACGCAGGGAGTTCAAATGAAATAACTACATTGAATTTATTAGCACGGGTCAATAGCGCTGCTCCCCCGAGTCCAGGTAGTTTAATTTCCCGTGATATTTGCCCGCCTGCCCACCATCGATTGGGCCTGAAATTAACTTATTTTTCAATCAGCCTCGGCATGCCCCAGGGTCGCTGCTCCTGCATTTTCCACACCGACTTCTTTTGAGGGGCAAGCTATTTCTCATTTAAAAAAACAGCATCTTGTATGAATAAGGGTTATCGTCAGAATTACCAAGCTTGAGAACTGTTTGATCGTTTTCAATTTAATATCTGTCTCCTCACTTGAATCTTCTCTCTGGCCCCCTCCTCGCCACATGGAGCCATCAGAGGTGCCTAAGTAGAGTGTGTAAGAGTCCTGTGTTAGAGTCCTATATACTCAATTTGGCCTTTCTCTATCTGAGCTGACATACAGCCTGCAGAGCCTTAAGCAGCTGTTGGCTGTGGCCAACTGAAGTGTGGTGGTGGGTCAGACCATCTATAAATGCCACTGCATGTAGCTGAAGATGAGCTCTGACAGATCCTTCACACTTGTACCCAGCAGGTTATGGGAAATCAATTGACTGAATCAAAACAGAGGAACTGTTATTTTAAGTTACTTTGAATCACAGCATAGATTCCCAAATAGGTAATCTTTAAAATATCTGTTAAGATGCTGAAATTGAGCTTTCATGTACAGACAACAGACATGTGGCTACTTGGGGTTTTTAAAGTTGTAACTGCTTTAGTAAAGGTTAAGAAGTCAGTTAGAGGCAGTCACAGTTTTTGGGTTGCCAGATTGCCTCTAATAATGAAGTTATACAGTGGGTACGGAAAGTATTCAGAACCCCTTACATTTTTCACTCTTTGTTATATTGCAGCCATATGCTAAAATCATTTAAGTTCATTTTTTTCCTCATTAATGTACACACAGCACCCCATATTGACAGAAAAACACAGAATTT